CGGGTTCTTCAGACGATCGTGCTAACAGTAGCACCTCAAATGGAAACTCTGCCGCTGTTCTGTCGTGTCCTACCTTGACTGCCGTCCAATTCTCACAGAATCCTCCACCAGCTGAAACCCTTCTTGGCCCTCGATGCTCATTTAAACTAGCATGATTTAATGTGCACACTCTGATGCGTATAGGACAACAGGCCGGTGTAGCTCGTACGCTTGAGACCCTATCTAGCTATCGATGTGTGTTGTATCCAAGAGACTCGCAGTCAAGACTCCAGCTCCATTATCCGATTGACATCCCTTTCAAACCCATCAGTGAAGTTTTAACAACGTCTCTCTAGGGACCCTGAGACTGCGGCTTCCGGTCTTGCTGGCGTCGGTGTGGCTCCCAGTGAGAGAGCTGAAGCCGCGTTATACGTCAGGTAGGGGTTAGAGCCTATGGCCAGATTTCGCCACCCTTCGCCGTCTCGAGTGGAGTTCGAAAAGGTTGCCCTATAGCCCCATTCCTTTTCAACTTTGTCAGAATGCTTTGTCCGGTCTAGTCGAACTCTTCCCAGTGAACAGTCTTTGACTTAGAATATGCTGATGACATCGCCTTGCTGGGTGACAACACACCGGCAGTCCAAAACTCTTTGAACCGCTTGGACAATCGAGGTATGTGTACCTTCCAAGTGCAGATTGTTTGTTCAAGACTGACAGGAGCCTGTGCCTAGAGGTATGAAGAAGCTTGCTTTAGCTCTGGCTTCCGTTGGTGCAGCCCGCCTTCCAGTTTGCGGTCCAAGGGATGAGGACTGTCCTTGGTAAGATACGCTGAGATGTATGGGCCAGAAAAGAAGTCAGTGGAGCGAATGCTTTACCGTTTGCCTGTCAAAATTCCGTACCCCATAAAAAAGACAAAATAACACAAAAAATTTCAAAAAGTGTACGGTGAAACACAAATAACTTGTCATCCCATTTATTTGTAATTTTCCATTTTAACAGTTCCGTCTTTTTTCCCATGTACTGTATTTCAATCTCCCCTCCCGCTATTGTTATAGTTTTTATTGTTGTGGCGTC